ATTTTTTATCTTAACAAAACATTACTGGACGTCATATTCATTAAAATTATTGGAGGGAGAATATATTATTATATACTTTCTATGTGGTTTAGTAAAATAAAGAAGATTTTAGAGTTTCAATCCTTGATAATTCAGTGGAGAGACAAATTTTGGTTTCATTCTATTTTCATTTTAAATAGAATCAAGTCAATAATGTCGAACAATATCCTCCCACACAAAAACGGCAAAACCGGGAAGGAGGTTGGATGAAATTGATTAAAATTAAAATAACAAAAATAACCATACTGTTAATTAAATAACTTATCTCTAGTTTCTCGTGTTTCAAAACCTTACTTCTAGAAACAAAAACAAAATGCCTCAGCACTTCGAAAATTTTGTAAAGTGATAAAGCAAAAGCAACAGAGCCTTACCTTCTGAGTCATCTTCCACATCCGCTAAAAGGCAGAACGTATTGAGCTCTAATAAATGACCAGGGAATTAGTGGCTGGCTAAAAAGAACAAGGTTAATGAGCAGTTTACTCCTTTCTATCCTGCTTATAGGCCCCTGCAACGCGCGGGACATTTGTTAAATCTTTTAAGGGTTGGGGTCCAATTAAATGATAAAAATGTATTTTTCTTGAGTTTTTCAAAAACAAATTAGTTAGATTTTTTTTCATCTTATTTATAAGAAAAAAATTCCTTTGTTTTATGCATTTATTACAAATTTCTTTTCATACTCTTATTAATTAATGAACCATCATTCAATTAACAAACCATAATCGATTTCTTTAATATCACTATTAAATAGATGATGGCATTTCTGAAATTAAAATTACATCTGTAACTTTTATAAATGCTAATGTTCTCATTACAACTTGTTAATTTTTACAATTCAACAATTTGTTATTACCCCATAGATATTTTATTTCACAATTGATTATTCTGTGTGCCCGTGTATTTGTAAGTTAATTTAATAACAACTTGCTATTTTCTTACAATTTAAAATTTGTTATTAGTTTATTACCCTCCTATATATTTTATTCAAAAAGTTATTCACTGATGCGATGATTTTTATAGTTTCCTTCGTTAAAGTGTTACACAGATAAAGAATGAATAGCAAGACCGCGGAAGAAGCACAGAAAGTTCATCAATTAAAATATTTCTTTGGGAAAGGAAAGAAGTTGGCTGGCAGGCAATATGTAGTTGAATATTTTATGGTTTTCTTTATCTGATACTGGAAACCATCTTTGTATTTGATTGATATGATTTGAGGATTAACCTTGAAACTGTTTTAAGAAATAAAAATTAAGGAAACGTAGGTGCTAGCAACCTTGAAGACATTTATATTATACGGAATAGTGCTACTGGAGCTATTGCTGGACTAATGTTTAGAGTCCTTGCGAGTGCACTTGCGTATTGCCGGAAGAGGATAACGCAATATTTTTCCTTTGATGTTCCTGGTAGGTTTAAGAATAATGGAAAATATGGTATTCATATCAATGACACTGATGAATTATACATGACGTCCATAATTGATTTATTAACAATTTTGCCCTCTTACTAATTGCAGCCGAGGAGCATCCTAAAATTCACCTTAGTCAGCTTAGGAAGTTTTCCCTGCGTGGGCTGCAAGATGCAACGGACAACTTTGGTAACAAAACCATTGTGGGTAAAGGTGGATCTGGTAAGGTTTACAAAGGACGATTGGCTGATAGGTCTCTGGTTGCAGTGAAAAGACTTAAAGTGGAAGGCGCTCATCAGGTTGGCGAGCTGCAATTTCAAACAGAAGTGCAAATTATGAGCTTGGCAGTCCACCGTAATCTGCTGCCGCTACTTGGTTTTTGCGTGACGCCAACTTCACGGTTGCTTGTGGATCCTTTCATGGCTAACGGCAGTCTGGCATCATGGTTACGAGGTATCCTTTAACTTCAATTTCAAATTCATTTGTTGTTTGTCTTGATTTATTGTTATGAATATAATTATGTAATTATTAGAAGTTATTTTGGGACTTGGATGCAAACACAATATATAAAGATATAAATATCTCCTAAAGAAACAAAAACATCTTACTGTTAAATATCTAAATATTGTAGTTTCATATATATATATACATATATATATATATATATATATATATATTGAGACGCGTTTGTGTATTGGGTTTGCCTTCCATTGTCTTCGAATGTTTTAGGCCGCCCGGAATCATTGCCCCCGCTTGAATGGCCTGAACGGAAGCGAATCGTACTGGGAGTTGCAAGGGGGCTTGCTTATTTGCAGAATCATTGTGATCCAAAGATCGTCCACCGTGATGTCAAAGCTGCCAATACATTATTGGACGAGGAATTTGAAGCAGTTCTTGGGGACTTTGGCTTTGTAAAACCCATGGACTACGAAGACACAGCCGTGCTTGGTTCAGTTGGGCACATTGCACCAGAATACCTCTCCACCGGAATGTCATCGGAGAAGTCTGATGTTTTTGGTTACGGTGTGATGCTTCTTGAACTAATGACTGGACAGAGGGCTTTAGTTCGCGCACGACTTGGCAATGATGAAGATGTCATGTTAATTGATTGGGTATGAATGTTTTCTATTTCCTCGTAACATTTATACGAGGTAATTTTATATAATAATCGAACATCTTTTGCCAAAATGTTGTGTCAGTTACTTTCCTTATGATCCCAAAAAGTTACTCAGCAATGAGTATAACACTGCCCTATTCAATATTTGGATCCAGGTGATAGGGCTTTTCAAAGACAAGAAATGGGAAATACTAATGGCTGCTTATTTGGGCGATGAATACAATAAAGAGGAGGCAGAGGGTTTAATCAAACTGGCCTTGCTTTTCACACAAAACTCGGTTATGGGAAGACCAAAGATGTCTGAGGTGCTAAGGATGCTTGAAGATGATGGGCCTGATGAAAAATGGGATGAATGGCAGAAAGAAGAGACGTGTCCCTTCTCTGCTATTCCCCGTGACCTCTTCTAGTTGGCTGATTCTAGACCCAGATTCAGATATCCTCCCAGAAGAACTGTCAGGTCCCAGATGATATTCTTAACCTGAATACTACATGCTAATTGGTTTTCTTCCTGCTGACCGGATAAAATCCCCCACTGATCATGTTGTGATTGTTGCCATAATTCAGTACTGTTCCAAAAATAACAAGGAATTCAACAAGTTCCATTGTCAGCGTCCAAGATGTCCAAAAGCAATGAACTTAAACGTAACGTGGGATTTCGGCACAATTGGATCAATATTTAAAATTATGGAAGGCTTTTGAGTCGGTCAAGCTTACTTTCTACTTTCTTTTTTATAAGAAACATATGACCAAATCACATACTCCTCTGATCCAATTTATGAGTTATTTTCAACATGTTTCATACAAATCAAGAAAAACCTTATTTATAAGTTATTTTCAACATATTTCACACAGATCAAGAAAAACCTTAAATTTCATTAACTCATTTAAAATTAAACAACTTTTCAACTTTATCCCTATTTAATATATATTATACCTCATGTAAACAAAGTTAACCCAATAATAAATGATGGGTAAAACTACACATCTATATAAAAAATTTCTCTCACTGCCATATAAACATGACCAAAGAATTAGATTAAAAAGTTAGTTAAAATTTATTGAAAATAATAAATATATAAATATTGTAACTTTTTATACCTGAAAAATACCTTTATTTATGAGAGAGAGTATAAGAGAAAAAAATAAGAAAACTATTAAAATAAAGAGAATTAGGGGAAAGAGAAAATATGTGATGAAGTGAGATGAATGAATGGTGTTTTGAAAAATAAAATAATAAATATGATAAATATTAAAATAAATAATTAATAAAAATAAAATAGGAAATTAATTAAAAAAATTTGTCATCACAAGTATTTCTTATAAATAAATGAAGGCAAAGAGGGAGTATTAAAGTTTAGACAGATAAAGAATGAACCGCAAGATCGAGGAAGAAGCACAAAAGCTCATCAATAATTAAACTATTTCTCTGGGAATGGAAAGAAGGTGACCGAAATTAAGGCTCCAGTTGGCAGGCGATATAGTTGAATATTTTATGGTTTTCTTTATCTGATGGTGGAAATCACCTTTATATTTGATTGATTTGATTTGAGGATTAATCTTCAAACTGTAGAAATATTAGTAAGACGCGATTTATAAATTACTATTAAAATGTTTGATACAGATCAGATTAAAAATGTTTTAAATTTTATTAACTCTCATTTAAAATTTAATAATTTTTTAACTATATTCTTATTTAATATACGTTATACCTCATGAGAACAAAGCCAACACAATAATAAATAAAAGGTAAATTATACATTTCTATACAAAATTTTTCTTTATGCCTTATAAATAGAACAAAAACTTTATTTTGGAAAAATGACAATAAAATACCTTCTGAATTTCAAAATGACAAATAAGGCATCAGGTACCAATTTTGAATTTTGATTTTTGGTCTCAAAACATGTTGCAAAACCCATTGACAAAGTAGTAACTCTCACTATGAAAGTTGTAAATCCTATTATGTGGTTTGTAAAATTCAACGTGGAATTGTATTATTTTTCACGGAAAAGTTGCCTAACCCCTCAAAACAGGTTGCAAAAGTCATTGATCAAGTAGTAAATCTCACTATGAAAGTTGTAAATCCCATTATGTGTTTGTAAAATTCGGTAAAACTTGCCCAGCCCTTCAAAACAGATTGCAAAACCTATTGACAAAGTAGTAGCTCTCACTATGAAAGTTGTAAATCTCACTATGTATTTTGTAAAATTTAAAATCAAAATCCCAGATTGGTACCTGATGCCTTTTTTGTCATTTTGTTTATTCGGATGTCTTATTTGTCATTTTGAAATTCAGAAAGTATTTTATTATCATTTTTCCAAAAATTTATTCTCTCTGCCTTCTATAAATAGGACCAGAGGAGTGTAAGACAAGGAAATGTATTAATGCGGAGAACCTCGAAGACAAACAGGCAATAGTGCTACCGGAGCTATTGCTGGACTGATGTCTACAGTGTTTGCGAGGACACTTGGTTATTGCCGGAAGAGGACAACACAAGATTATTTCTTTGATGCTCCTGGTAAGTTGAAGAATAACGGAAAAGATGGTATACATATTAATGACACTGATGAATTATACATGACGTCCATAATTGATTTATCAACAATTTTGCCCTCTTACTAATTGCAGCCGAGGAGCATCCTAAAATTCAACTTAGTCAGCTTAGAAAGTTTTCCCTGCGTGAGCTACAAGATGCAACGGACAACTTTAGTAACGAAAACATTGTGGGTAAAGGTAGATCTGGTAAGGTCTACAAAGGACGATTGGCTGATGGGTCTCTAGTTGCAGTGAAAAGACTTAAAGTGGAAGGCGCTCAGTTGGGAGAGCTGCAATTTCAAACAGAAGTACAAATTATGAGCTTGGCAGTCCACCGTAATTTGCTGCGGCTGCTTGGTTATTGCAAGACCCCAACTGAACGGTTGCTTGTATATCCGTTCATGGCTAAAGGCAGTGTGGCATCACGGTTACGAGGTATCCTTCAATTTCAAACTCATTTGTTGTTTATCTTGATTTTTTGTTGATCAAATATGAATACGAATTATGAAATTATTAGAAGTTATTTGGGATTTGGATGCAAACACAATATATAAAGATATAAATATCTCCTAAAGAAACAAAAACACCGTACTGTTAAATATCTAAATTGTAGTTTCATATATATTGAGGCGCGTTTATGCATATTGGGTTTGGCCTCAATTGTCTTCGAACGTCTTAGGCCCCCCGGAATCATGGCCTGTACGGAAGCGAATCATACTGGGAGTTGCAAGGGGGCTTGCTTATTTGCATAATCATTGTGATCCAAACATCATCCACCGTGATGTGAAAGCTGTCAATATATTACGGGATGAGGATTTTGAAGCAGTTATTGGGGACTTTGGCTTTGCAAAACCCATGGACTACGAAGATACAGCTGTGCTTGGTTCGATTGGGCACATTGCACCAGGATACCTCTCCACCGGAATGTCTTCGGAGAAGTCTGATGTTTTTGGTTACTGTTTGATGCTTCTTGAACTAATGACTGGACAGAGGGCTTTAGTTCGCGCACGACTTGGCAATGATGATGATGTCATGTTAATTGATTGGGTATGTATGTTTTCATTTTCTGGTAATATTTATGAGGTAATTTTATGTCGTCAAACATCTTTTGCTGAATGTAGTGCCAAAAAGTTATTCAGCAATGAGTATTTGGATCCAGATGATAGGGCTTTGGAAAGACAAGAAATGGGAAACACTAATGGATGCCGATTTGATCGGTGACTATAATAAAGAGGAGGAGGAGCATTTAATCAAGGTGGCCTTGCTATGCACACAAAGCTCGGTCATGGGAAGACCAAAGATGTCTGAGGTGCCAAGGATGCTTGAAGGTGATGGGCTTGATGAAAAATGGGATGAATGGCAGAAAGACGAGACGTGTCCATTAGGTAATGGAACCCTTCTCTCCTGTTCCCCCGTGACCTCTTCTAGTTGGCAGATTCTAGACCCAGATTCAGATATCCTCCCAGAAGAACTGTCAGGTCCCAGATGATATTCTTAACCTGAATACTACATGTTAATTGGTTTTCTTCCTGCTGACCGGATAAAATCCCCCACTGATCATGTTGTGATTGTTGCCATGAATGTGTAATTGGGACTCTAGTCCACAGATGACCATCACTTGTGTTTGCGTTGTACCAGTATTGTATGTATGAACAATTAATGGGTAAAAAAAAAAAATGAAAGAACAATTAATGTCTAGAAAAAAGTAGTAATAAAAGTATGTTTTCCCTTTCAAATTCAGGAATTCAGACGAAGACGTAGATTTTTGGGGTGTTCTTGAGTTTCATTGAAATATGCTTTTGTCATACAATAAGGGGTGATGACAATTGGCATTTTGGCACTGCCCCGCTCATGCTTTGTCTTGATTTACTCCTTCTTTCCTAAATATAAAATCTATCTTATAGTGTAATTTACATTATAAAATGTGTCTTATATTTATATTTACAACGGAAGGGAGTATTTTCATAATAATTACCTTAAAGCTTTTTGTTCTTTCGAGGAAGACTTGGCGAAGACTGGATAATCAAAGAATCCCCGTGTTTGATTGATTGATTGCTTTTGAGAGAGGGGGGGGAGAGGTGGGGGCCTAGGGGTGGAAGTAGGCTAGGCCCCTATCGGGAGCCTACGGTCTAACCTATTTTAAGCCTAGCCTAGCCTATTTAGTAAATAGGTCAGGCTCAGGCTTAGGCTTATTGCAATGCCTATTTAGATAAACAGGCCAGACCTATTTTTATAAGGCCTAGCCTACAAGCCTACAGGAAGTAAGCTTTTTTTTTTTCCTTCTTAATTTACACTATTATATAATATAATCTAGATTAATTTTATAAATTATTTATAAAATTACTGACTTAGCCATAATCCTAAGCTTCACATCCCATCATTCACACACAAACGCAACCCTTTCATCAATCAATCTTTCACCTCTACATTTCTTTTCTTTGATCACTCAAAATGACTACGTTAGCTCACTCCATTTTCCCTGACTTACGTTGTTCACTAAAGTATAATAATTGTAGTAAGTTTGTTTTAGTGATGCCCAAATGAAATATTATAATACTGCTAGAAAAGCAAGAGGTAAAATCTATTTTTAATCACATGCCACTTGTTGGGTTTGGTTGATTTTAGAAAATATATCTCCTTTGTCAACATATAATTGGTTTTTCTTATTCATATTTGCCGGAACAATTGTTGTCACTAAGCATTCTTTTTTCTTACTAGGCTCTTATTATCTTATATTGTATGTGAGAATAGATCTTAAGCTTTTAAGACATAACGTAGGCTTTAAAATAGGTTTGAAGAGTTATGCATGAATTTGGAGGCATGTGCTTTTAAGCCTATTTAAATACTTAAAATTTAAGTAGGCTTTTAAAAAAGCTTTCAGGCCTTATTAGGCCTTTTGAAGGCTTAGGCTCGAGTTTAAAAAAAAGCCTACATGCAGACTCAGGCTCAGACCCAGGCTTTAGATATCTGATGCAGCCCCAGGCCTATTTAGCTAAAACCTAGCCTAGCCTAGCCTATTTCCACCCTTAGCCCTTAGGTGGGGCAGAAGAGATGGCTTCAGCGTCCAGCTTGCACATAGTTGTTGCTCTCGCTCTGGCTGTTATAAGCCTCATAATAGTAACCTGAATCTTAATGCTTCAATTTCAATTTGATGGATAGTCCATCCAGATCAAAATACATGCATTAAAACTTTCAATGAGCTTGACTTTTTTCTTTAAAAAAAAACTACTATTTAAATTTGTCTGATTATTTAATGTTTTTTTATCACTAATTAATATGTATCTCTCGCTCATCTATTTTTTTTTTATTTTCTCTCCCACTTACCCCTTCTACAAATAAAAATGTCTTAAGGAAATAAAATTTTTTCACATATTTTCATCTTTAGTTAATTTTAATTAATTTTTAAGTTACGTAAGTTAGCTATTTGATATTTATATTTTAAATTGATGGGCTATATCCATTAATGTTTCTTTCTTCAATCCACAAAGATTGATTGCTTTTATTCAAGTGATTTTCCTTTTCTGGGGCTCACCTTTTTCTTCCCGCAGACAATCTTTCAACATTTCAATTTCTTTAAAATCGCATCCTGTGATCCCATTTGTTTTAGTGGCTAATTCGCTTTGTCTGTCGTGTGTGCTTTTTTTTTTTTTTAATTACTACTCCGTCTTCATTAATACAAGTTATTTATAGTACATTTTTGCATATTAAAAAAATGTATTAAATTGACAGAATTTTTAAATTTTATTTTTATTAAGTTTTTTCTCTCTCTACATTTACAAATCATTTTAACATCTCTTCATTTTCTCTCACTTTCCAATAAAAATTAAATAAAATTAAAATTAAAAATAAATATTAAATATATTATAAATAACTTACATTTAGGATTAAAATTTCCTTCTAAATCCTTCTATAAGTGACTTACGTTTCGGAAGGGAGTGGTAGTTAGCGGAATCTGTTTTTTCCTGTAATTGTCCACTGGAATTGCCAAAGTGCCCACAATGATAAAGCCATTTCAGGGTCATCCTGACAAAAGCAGATTTCAATAAAATTCGAGAACACTAACTTTTGAAATCCCCATAAATATAATCAACATCTATGTCTGTACACCTGAATTTTGAAAGTGAAAACAGACTTTCGTTTACTTTCTAGACATTAATTTTTCATACATATAATACAACACAAGCGATGGTCACATGTGGACTAGGCTCCCAATTATACATTTCTTGCAACAATCGCAACATGATAAGTGGGGCATTCTATCTAGACAGCATATATAATCCAAAAGGAAGAAAGTCGTTGTTCTACAGTTATGAAAGGACTCTGTAGATGCTGAGTAGTGTTAAGGTTGAGGAGATCATCTGGGACTTGACCCCCTGCTTGGATTGAGGAAAAAAAATTAGAGAGAAGAAAAAACTAAAAAGGAAAACATGAGAAGAAATGAGTTTTCCTTTGCTTAGATAGGAGAGAAAATATGGGAGGAAGAAAAAATGGGAGAGAAATTAAGTTGGGCCACATACCTCATTTTCTCTCCAAATTTTCTCTCCATATATGAAGAGATTTGTGAAGGGAAACAAGATTTTCATAACTACAGCTGCCCCTCATCTCTTTTCCTCTCCATATTTGTTTTCTTTGATCATATTTAAAAAGTTATTACTTTTCATTTTGATCTTAAAACAATATTTTTATTAAATAATTTGGTTTTAAAATATAATGATCTGAAAATATATATAAAACAAATAAGTTCATTTTAAGTTATCTAATGACACTAATGTTAGTACAATTTTCCCATTGTAATATTTAATTTGATTTAATTTTAAATATAATATATTTTGATAAGGATATTTTGGTCATTTAGACATTTGCTCATTTTCTTTCCTTTCTATTTTTTCTCCTGTATCCAAGAGGGATGATAACATCTTCTCTTCAATTTTTTCTTCTCTCTATTTTTTTTCCTCTCATTTTTTTTCCTCCCAACTTTTCTTCTCATCCAAACAGAGTAGACAGTTCTTCTGGGAGGACATATGAATTAGAGTCCACAATCCAACTAGCATAAGAGAGAAGTGTTTCATTATCGAACGGATACATCTCTTCTTTCTGCCATTGACCCCATTTTTCAGCCAAACCATCACCTTCGAGCATCCTTACCACCTCAGACACGTTTGCTCTTCTCATAGCCGAGTGTTGTGTGCATAGCAAGGCCACTTGAATAGTTGCTCTGCCTCCTCTTCATTATACTCATCGCCCAAATCAGCGTCCAATAGTGTTTCCCATTTCTGGCCTTTGATCCAAATATTGAACATCACATTGCTGTGCTGATTACTGAATGACTTTTTGGGTTCATAAAAAACCATTTAAGGAGGCCAATAACTGACACGACATTTAGCAAAGGATGTTTGGTTACATAAAATCACCTCATATAAGTGTTACCAGAAAATAGAAAACGTGCCCAATCAGTTATCATGACATCATAAGGATTGACAAGTCGGGCACGATTGAAAGCCATCTGTCCGGTTAACAGTTCAAGAAGCATCACGCCATAACCAAAAACATCAGTCTTCTCCGAAGACTTTCCGGTGGCTCTGGAGATCCCAGTGCCATTGGCTTCCACGCAGGCCATTGAAGGTGGGGTTTTGATTCCGGGCGGCCTAGGACATATAATCCATCAATCATTATGTATACCATCATTATGTGTACCACTCTTATCCTTAATATGAGTCACTTATAACATATTCTCACATATTAAGAAATGTATTAAATTAACAAAATTTTTCAATTTTATCATTATTAAAAAGTTTTCTCTCTCTACGTTTACAAATCATTTCTCTTCCTTCTTTTTTTCCCTCTCCAATGAGAATTAAATAAGGGTAAAATTGAAAAATAAGTATCAAGTATACAAAGTGACTTACATTTAATAAGCTTGATTGTTTTAAAACCGTTCAGTAATTTTAAATTATGCCGAAATCACACGTTATGTTTTTGTTAGTTAATTGCATTTGAATATTTGACACTGATGACAAATGGAAAAGTACAAAACGAAAAATTATGTATGACGAATATGCTCAATAACATGAATTTCCAAGTGTACTGTCAACAAGTGCTCCCAGAAGAATTGAATTTTTTCAGTTAAATAACTGTACGTGGTATGTTTTATTTATCTATTGGGCTATAAAAATGATCTATACAAAAAAGAGAACCATTATTAATATCTCCTGTTAACCTGGTCCTAGATATTTGAGTTAATTTGACATTTTTTCCCAACAATTCTCTGATCTTTAACTCAACATGCTTATTTCGATGATAGGTTTCAAACCATAAACCCTATAAATATAATAAATATATTAATAATTTGAACTCGTTATGTTGATAACCTAAGCTTTCAACTTCAACAATTTATTTCATTTCCTTTTCCCCTTGTAAATATTTTAATTCTTGGAGCATTTGTTTGCATGTTATTCTATTCAGCTCCAATTCAGACCAAATTGAGCATAG